CCTCCTGGCTCCAGCTGCAAGGGCTGCCACGGAAAGGGAAACAGCCCCTGCCAGTTCCCATATGCACCACCATCCTAATCCTTTTTTTTTTTTTTAAACTTCTTTTTTCACTGTTTCCATGCACTGAAGGGATTTGAATCTTTAAGTGCTCACAAGATGCAGGCATTACAGCACTGGGTGCTGCAGCACCCGCAGGTCGCACCCTCAGTTTCCAGAGCAGTTCCCTCCCTAACACCCACATCTAAGAGAGGGGCACTTCTGAATGCTACATCAGCCAGCAGCCTAGGCATGCAAACACCTCAGCCAGGCCACCACTAACGCTGAAGATGGGGTGAAATGCCCCCTTTTTGCACAATTCCAGCTCAATCTGCAGTTCTTGGACAGGTGCTGCTCCAAAACTGAGATTCATTACTTCCCAGGGCAGGGTTTTTACTGCTGTGCTGCTGGCTCATCCCTCACACAGCTCCCATACCTACCTGTGTAACGTTCTGGTCTGAAAGAGAAGCCTGGATTAAGGATGGCTTTGCTCCCTCTGCCCAGCATCCTGACGGTAGCTGTGAATTCGATCCCTTCTGCGAGGAGCAAAGGCAAAGCCTGTGGAGGTCATGGCTCCACATTGCAACCTCTAAATGCATAAACGCTTGGGCTCCCACTCTCAGCTTTCTGCATCAGACTCCCCAGCTGATTCCTGGGCTATTCCACATTGGCAGGATGACATGCCTGGTCATGGCACACACTGGCAGAAGGCAGCTCAGTGCCAGTGGCCGGTTCCCAGGATGCTGGGCAGACTTGTCCATCATACTCTGGAGCCCACACAACTGCCCTGTGGTCAATTCTTGTGCTAGCCCAGGTCTGCTCTCACCTCTTCCTGTCCTATGTCCTATTTTAATAGATAAAGCATAATAAAACCAGCTTGCCACAGCACCACTACCACCAGCTCTATAGGACAAAGGGGACCTCTTCTGAGCAGTATTGTCCCTTCTGCTGCTTCTTTGCTAAATTGGATGATGATTTCTCAGTTGAGGAATCTTCTGTGCTGCATACAGCTTTATGGTGTTTGAAAGATCATGCAGCAGCAATGCTTCATAGATCATGGGGCATCAGGGACCAGGAAAATGCTCCAAGTCCACAGTTCTCGTAGTTACTAAATAGTAACAGCTGCATCTGAGAGGCAAGGCTTGTAAGGGGAGATAGTATTTTTTATTAATCAGACTAACACAGTTGGGAAAAAAGGGACACATTCAGGCACAGAAACCCTTCTGTTTAAATGCACTGGCTCTACTGTTTGGAGACCTCTTTCTCCCTAAGTGCTCTAGTTTAAACCTCCATTCCGATTTTGCTACTCTGAGGTGTTTTAGCACAAGACACTCAGCAGGTACAAGCTGAGAAAACATCAAAATTAAAGGAATTAAGAACAGCTGCATGTAATCACAAGTGATCTTAGCTCTTTTAGCTTGGACTACAGGGTCTTTCTTTCCATGCTTCTCACCAGCCACCCAAGAGTCAGCCAGATTAACACTTTCCCAAAACCCTGGGGCTAGGCAGCCACATTCTGACTCCCCTCCTGTTAAATCAGTCTCCAGCGTGTTGGAGACAACAAACTCCTCCTCTCTCACCTCTAGCAGGAAGATTTACCACTGTGGGTGTCCAGCAAAGGAGCAGACCTGCATGCTGGCACTGACTAGGTTTGCCACCACATGAGAATTGCTGTTGACTGCAGTTGGCCTAGTGAAGTTTATTTAGCATCTCCAGCATTGTTTAAAATAAGCACACATGCAGATGAAATTATCCCCTCTTTTCCACAAGACCGATTAAAAAAAAAATTTCTATCTACGCTTTGTGAAAGAGGATGGGAGTTTTACCAACTCTCTGAAGTGGAAATACTCCACTGAGATGAAGTTATGTGGGAAAGGGGAATCAGTTTTTACTAACCTCTCTTCCACTGTCGCGCTACTTTGTAATTTTCAGTGCAACCTCTAATATCAGATGCATTCAAGAGTCATGGGAATTGTCAGTGCAAGTATATTTAGCCATATCCCTTTGGGTAGGTGGGGGAGGAAAGAGACCCCTAAATAGCTGTAAGATAACAATTACTGCAAGCATATTTGCTTAGAGAAAGTTTAGTCAGAGTTCAGAGAAAAGACAAGTCCTTGGCAGCTGGATGGCCAACAGCCAGCTTCTTCTTGAGCTGTCCCTACAAACCCTTACTCGATGAGGAGCATGCTCAGAAGAGAAACCCCTTTGCTTTCCTTAGGTCTTCTCCACATGCTCTAAGCACTCTTCGGTGTAAATGAAATGCTTAGAGAAGTGGCAAATTATCTAGAATTCTCTCCCCTCTTTAACCAAAAAAAGTCAAATCCAAGCCCTCCATGATAGAAAGTGTCTTTTACATAGGGGGCAGAAATTCCCACTATTCACAATATTGCAGAAGAATTCAAAAAATTTCACAGCACGTTAACAGGCAAGTGAAAATGCCCTGGCTTTCATTCAGCTGCAGTGGGAGTGGGGAGAAGCCTCCGCCGTGGCTGCAGGAGAAACCTGTGGGACTCAGGCTGGAAAAGTAGCAGGGGGAGGATGTGAATGCTGTTAAAAATAAAACTTATCAGACAACAATTGAATCATAAGAATGTTATCTGGTTCAACAGGAGTGTGAAAACAAACAGGCATTTCAAGAAGAGGGTCACTAGCAAGGTAAATAACTTCAAAATAGCAGGAAGTGACCAAGGAAACATGCCAAGCTGATGGCAACAAACAGCTTTCCCCGACAGCACACCTCTGTGCAGTGCCACCACCCTCCACCCAGCTCTGTGGCACCGCACCCACCCATGGCCGCAACCCTGGCCATGGTAAGACACAAGACTGAAAAGATTTGCACAGGACAACGTTTAACATGACCCAGTGTTTATTGACTCCTGCCACATATTTTGGTTTTAACAGTAACAGGAACACAAAATGTGATGTATGATAAAATACTACTAGGGGTTTCTGTATCAATCCAATGCAAAGTGCCAGCATTGTTGACCAGCATACAACCTGACAAGAGAAGATGTAGTCATAACTCACTCTCAGATATCTGCTGGGAGTACATCACAGTCAAAGTAGAACTAGTTATTTGCCTGCAAATAGACAACATTTTCTTCTAGATGCAAGTGGTGTTAGAGCCAGCTATTTTGCAACAACAATATATAGAATATATTCCAACATCTTTAAAAAAACGCAGTAGGAAAGGACTAAAACTGTATAAAGAGAGAAGGAAAAAAAAGAGTGGATCTTTTTAGACACTACTTTGCAGAGGCCATTCCTCATAGAACCAGAAGTAATCTAGAGAAAATAAGATTTATTAGAGGCTACTTTGCTTAAAAGGCCAGTGGTTACAGCTTTAAGAATAAAAATAGTCTGTTGATTTTCAGTACTGGCTCCTGGCCTTTTTCCTCCCTGCACAATAAAAACCACCTGTTGGAAATTGTGGCTTGGTGGCTCCACATATTTTTCCAATGCAATTGCATTTCGAAAGGCAACCATATTTCTTAAAGAGCCACAAAAAACTTGCATGACAGACACGTGGCATGTAACATCTTCATAAATATGAATGATGAAGGCACATTACCTAAAGGTTGAAAAAAACCCCAACAAAACTTCTGGAGAACTAAAAATTAAATGCCTTAGAGAAACCACTTTTCCACAACTGGATGACAAGTGCTGTTTAGCCATAGAAGTTTCAAACAGTTTGCCATGAAGACAAAACACAAGGCAAGGAAAGAGTCTTCTTGAAATGCCCTCCCTACTGCAGCAGCCTGCTTCCCCGACAGTTCTTCAGACAATTTCATTCTTGCAGAGCAGTTTGCAGCAATTCCAAGGACAGGCAAGAGAAATTTGTGTAGAAAACCTCAAGCCTGTGGATTCCTACATGACCAACACCCCACCCACCCCCAGTTAAATTACAGCATCTTCAAGGAGATCATCCCACTGATCTGGAAAGGGGGTAAAGGTCTGGAACAGAGGACTGAGGAATTGGTTTCAAAATCCTGTGCCCTCAACTTTTTAGTACTTAATTATGTGTGTTAACAAAGAAAAAGACAATGCTCTCTGCCACAGAATAATTGCTCTCTATCTAGATCAGGAAGATATTGGCTAAAAATGAAAATATGTACTTTATTTACACAAAATGCATCTATACTCCAAGCTCCATCCACCACACATGTTGCTGACCACTGCTGAAGCCAGGTGGTAGCAATAGTGGTAACTGAAGTACCTTTCTTTTTCAACCTTTATACAAAGCCTTTCCCCTCCGACCCCACTGTTTTTCCACTGTTCTAGGCTCCAGTGAGATGTGTACTAACATCTTTCTAGTGCATTTTTTTTCAAGGTTACAGTTTCTAAAGGCAAAGGAAGACTTGCTTTGCTCTGTTTTAGCTGTCTTTGCCCCCTTTACAATCACGTAGGAGTTTCAAATTTACATGCCATTAACAACTTTGCATAGCAATACAACAGATTCTGTCCGCCCCCCCCCCCCCCCTCTTCTCCCCCCCCCCTTTTTAAATAATAATCCTGTGGCTCTCCTTTTTCAACAGCTCCCATCTTTCAAAGGGTTACCTCTCACTCTCAGGGAAGAGCCCTAACTCTTTCTCCTCCCACATGAACATTGCAGAATGAGAATTTCAAGTTATTGTTAAGTTTCCTTCAAGTCTATGTTGTGCTACTTAGAAGTAACTGTAGTGGAATAATGTTTTTCCTAACATTAAAGGACATTTATCAGATTATTTGTCTTTTTCTAGTCTTGAGTTAAGAATATTTGTCACACATGTTCCCTCGTATTCCTCTCTTAAGGTGCACAGTGGTCAGGCTGAACAAAGTCCCGCCCATAAGACCATAGCTGGATCTCTGGGAGAAGCCAGAGTGAACAAGGGGTTTCTTAGCACTACTGTATTTACATTCAGAATTCAAGGACAGGCTGAAGGATGCCCAGCTTTTTTTTTTTTTAAGAGACAGAACTGCTTAAAAAAAATTTCTATTACTACTTTTTATGTCACGAAAGTTACTTCTTTTCTGTCCTATGCAGCTGTTACCATTCTGTCACTGACATTTAATCGTTGCCATTGCACACTACCTTTTCATTCCCTAGCTCAAGTGCGACAGAGCTGGCCCACAGACCCATCACTAGCACGACAGCCCGGCACAGTGTGGTGAACTGGTGCAGGAGGCAGTGGTTCAGGCAGACCACCTTCAACACTGTGGGCAAGTGGCATGGGAAAATACAGGACACTGAAGAGGGCATCTATTTGGAACATTTAGCAGGGTCTGACATACACACTGACAACATGAGACGAAAATGAATGCGAGTATTAGGTTGAGAACAATTAGTGTGAGTGAAATACATCCACTGCCAGCTCTCAGCTTCCTTAAGAGCTATTCTGAACTGCATAGTAAGTGCTGGTTGTAGAAGCTTAGGCAGATTGGACATAGCTCACCAGTTACTTATTGAGTCTAATAAGTTTAAAAAAAATAATGGAGAAAAAAAAATATGTGCTTTGCCATTTGAATAACTCTGATCTCACAGCTTGAGCACAGCAGAAGTAGTTACCTGGCGTAACAGATCAACTGAAACAGAATCGCTGTTTCATTCAAATTACCTATGCATGCAAAGTTAAACAAGTGTGTTAACTAAGGATAAGCAGCATAGAAATCAAGTCTAAGTTACCCGTTATTTATCATATATTTGTCAGACTGCCAGACATATCTTTTCCTTTCAGATTCATATCTGTGTCATACTAAACATAGTAGATGAAGTCACGAAAATAACACTTAACTCTACGTATCATTGGCCTTTAGTGCCAATGCATTGTGTGCCATAACCCTTCCAAGTTTACCAAACTTTTGGGAGAAAACAGCTGCTTTACCAAACCGTGAAAATAGAAACCGTACAACTCACCCTGCTCAGAACAGAAAGGAAGTGGTTTTACAAAGTTGTGGACAGATGCGTAACTACTTCCCCCTCAGTCCTGGGACAGAAAGGACAACACAACTGCACAGCTAGAATGTGATTCTTAAATGCAAACAAAATCCAGGAAATGCGATGACTGTGTAGACAAAAATCTGTTTGGAAAGTCGTGCTATCGAAGAGCTGAGCCAACGTTCTGCGCAGCAAAGTGATGAACAGAACATTGACAGGTCCACGTGGGACAGACCATAAGATGACACTCTACAAAAATCCAGTTTAATTTCACATTCCCAGTATCTCTCCTTGCCCATTAGCAGTCTGCCACAGATTTTAAACTTGTAACGCTCCTTCCCATTGAGCTAGATCCCCCCCCTAAAGTGCAAGTAAGACTCAGCTTTTTACCACTACTTCCAATGATCGTTATCTTGGTTACAAGAGCGATCAAAAACCAGTTGGCTGAGCCACTACCACTAGGCTTAGTGATACTCTTTTTTTTTTAACCCTGGTTACTTTTTCCAGCAAAAGGCAAATAGAAAACAAGTGTTCCTTCTGCCAGATGCAGGCATGACAAGAGACTGCCTTAAGTACCATCAAAGTAAGACACACATGCTAGACACAACCAGTGCGTTCTTGTGCATAACAAGAATTTGCCCTTGTTCGCTGGAAATGGAAGTCATCTTTGGGATCTTAATTCCTCACAAAGAATTCAGGAACAGTTGATTAGTCTTCATTAAGAGGTGCTTCTCTCTTCCTTGCATCTACATCGAAAAGATGAAAAAAGGAGAGGCAATTAAGCCAAAGAGTTCTGACAGCATTCATCTGAAAACTCAGAAACAGAATAAAGTTGGTTTGTTTTCGATGGACAGCACTTTCCATTTCAGACTCATGATATGAATTCACTACATGGACTGAAATGCTGTATGAATCCACAGCATGTTAACAAGATAGTCATACCAAAGTTCTGTACGTTTGCCCTGCTGAAACTGAAGACAACTCATGCAGTATTCAAGTAGCCCAATAAACTTTCAGACTCCAGATCTGTGATACTTTTACCCCCACTCTTGGCCCCTTGTTCATGATCCACTTCAAGGGTGAAGCCAGTATTTGCTTTACATACCAGCTACATAGATGACAACAGTCTGTTCTGAAAAGCATTTGACTAATTATGACTTTGCTGGTCTGCTGCTGCACTGCACACATTTAAAAAGACGAATGCTCTCCACGCGGTATTTTGAGGAACTGCCTGAGGCAGTCCCCGAAGACCACATCTTCAACTGCTCCAAACAGCAAACCTTTGAGCATGGCCCCAGGTAGGGTGTTAGAGCACATCTGGACAACTCAGTCCATTACTCGTATGCCATTACTACAGTAGCAGGCAGCGTGGCTGCCATTAGGAAATCTGGGGTCACCTCTTCCCAGCCTTCTGCAGAAGTGTCTCTGGGCTGACTTTAAGCTATCTGTGAGACCCAGTTGAATGTATGTAGCTCTTGAAGTGCACCATGATCACAGCTACTCTAGCAACTGCCTGCCAAAAGATGCACTTATATATATTTCTAAGCTTAGTTTATTTCCAACTCATAATCTATACATTCCAAGGTCATTATGAACATCTCCACTCAGAAATTGCTTGCAAATTAAAGACAAATCCCTTTTGCATTACTGCAGGCCCCAACTGCCCTTCATTAATACAGAAGACAGGCCCTATTCGGCCAGAACATGTAAAGAACATGATTATGAAACTGTTTGTGTAAGTCTCATGACTTTGTGCTAAACAAAGTTTGGAGGAGACAAATATACTTCTCAAATAACAGAAGAGCTTAGAGACTCCCAGTGACTGGAGCAGTGACTTGGGGTGGGACAAAATCTCAGCAGCCATTTGGGAGAGAAATCGGAAACTGCCTCTCCCATGCTCCCCATCACGCTCATCTGGGATACTGAGGCCAGGCCTGAATCTTCTTCTGTCACAACTTCTCCACTTCACGTAAAATAACTGACTAGTGATTAGAGATGAAAAAGCTTTCTAAAAATGAATGTCATAACCATCTAGCTACAGAGTTATTCCCAGTCTGCCTCTGACTTTGGAAATATCAAAATGCATTTTCTTTCTGGAGAACACTTAAACAGAATCATACCAGTTAAGTTCCTGAACTTTTTTTTGGCTTCTGCTCTTTCTTCAGCATCAAAATACCACACAGTCATGGCATATCTAAAAAAGAAAGAAATCTTGTGTTTGTTTCAACTTTTGCTATTAAAATAGAGCCCTGGAGTTTTATGCTCATGGAGAAAACAAAAAAACCCTGCATTAGTAGATAAAAAAAGGATGCAAAAGGCACATCTTTATAGACAAATATAGATAGTATTTTAAATGTGTATTTTATCAAGATAGAAATATAGGTGAGAATTTCTGCTTGGAAGCACAAAAGAGTGCACAGCCCCTGGTAACAGAGGGCAAAAGTAGCTTACAGACCTTTGCATGTTTTTCCGTTCTGGGACAGCTGTAGGCAGCTCGGGGGTTGCCCTGCGTCACATCAGCTTTTTGTGGCCTGTTGACAGATGGTAGCCCCAAGAATCCCTATAGTGTTACGAGGGCAAAAGTATAACCCAGCATCTCCCAGCTAAATAGCTATGCCTGGCTTGGAAGATTTCTCCTGTCACTGGTAAAAGGGCTTTTTTTTCCATCACACAAGGAATCTTATAATTCAAGCTTGTTCTTCCTCATTGGAAGAGAGAATTCCCAGTGACTCAAAAACAGAAAATCCACTCAAAACCTTGCTATCTATTTTTTATGCACGTGTATTTAAACAAACACGATAGCCATAATTTTAGATACAAATATTGGTAGAAGAGATGCTTTGCTTTTTCCTGGCCAAATATCGATACCAAATAAGCTACTTACCTGGTTGCATAAGAAGGCTGGACTTCATGTGGATTCCTTCGATCTGACCAAAAAAAAAGTAATCGGTCAAAAATTGGCTCAACATCTGCTACGTAGGACTTTCCTTCTGGGAATATCCGAAGAATTCCACCATGCAGCTGAAAGAAAAGGAAAGGTTGCTTTTTACACATATAAACACCCACATATTCATGCAAACAATGACTTATTTCTCCCTCCTCAGCACCCAACAAGTGGGGACTAAACATCTGATGATAACCAAGACCACTACATGACAACACTGGAAAACCATACACTGAATCTCTTGGCCACCTTGATTTTCCCAAACAGCTTGTAATGTTTCAGCATAAACATCTGGCTAAAGTAAATGAACCAAGATAAAGACAACACTGGCCCTGTGGAAACAGCTGGGAAACTTCTGACCTCCCACTCACATCTCTATAAGCAGTGAATACCACAAGGCAGGTAAGGGTGTTCCACCTGACCAGTCTGAGATCAGACTCTCCTCCCAGCAATCGCTAGATACTGCTTACAGTGTTTCAGAGCCTGCATCTGATCATACAGGAGTTAACTTTTACACCCTGGGAAGAGTGAAGTCTGTTCTATTGTTGTACTTGTAATAAACTTCTAATTGTATTATATCTCCCAGCCAGTCTTTTCCCTGCTTATGATATAGCCTGGTTTCTGTACCACATCGTTTGTCTCTTTCCATGTGCCACCAGTTTCAGTGAAAAACCCTGCTGATCTGCATGCACTGCAGAAACTTCAAAAGATGCAGATGAACTCTGCCTCCTCCCTGCTGCTGTTAGAGGGCTCTTTGGAGGCTTTTATGCGGCACAACAGAGCACAGGGAAGATGCTGTCAACCCAGCACTGACCTGACTTCGTACCTCCACATGGCATGCAAACCTCAGTAAGAAACTACTAGGTCAGGTTTAAAGCAATATGGTTGCTTTCAAAGGCCAGCATGATTATATTGCATCTCCTCCAGCATACATTTGCATAAAATTACTGTCACACCCACATAATGCTCTCCACCAGTGTCCCGGATTTCAGCTAGCTTTTAGTGTCCACTTGGGTGCTCCTTCACTATTAGAATAACAGTGCAGTGCACAAAATAAATTGGATATTTGCATTTCGTCCCACATTTCCTCCTTCATTTTATTACATTGAGATGTTCCACTGTCATACTCTCCATAAAGGAATGTGTTTTTCTCCAACAGTGCATTTTTTAGTGGCATTGCCTGTACATCTGAACTTGCTTTTGGAGGTTCATAGTATTTACGTGTGCTTAAAAAGCATCCACCTAAAGTGGTCAAGACAGGTTAGAGAGACAAAAAACATCAGGCAATTTTCAATAGATAATCCACGCGAATGGTTTGTGCCACATTGTGACAACAGAAGTGTAAAGAGACGTCCTGCAGTTTTACAAACTCTTATTTTGTTTCTAACTTAAAGGTATGGTAAATTCAAGGCTGACTTTATTGCCTTATAGTAATACAACAAAAACAAGAGCACCATCCTGTCAAGAGGCCCACTGGTGGAGTCAAAGATGGAGAGGACAAACCAAGCCATGTGCTTGTTCCTCTTACTAAGCCCCATCACTTCATAAGGAAGAAAACCACAAAGGCAGCTGCCTGAAGATCTTCCGCAGGTTAGCCTGAAGCAACAGTATCAAGAACGCTAAAGTCCCAAATTTGGGCTGTCATTTTATTCTGTTCCCAGAATCCACTTATTCCTTAGTGGATTATGTTTTTTCTTTCTAGTGCTTCATTGCTCTTTCCTCTAAACAAAGCATAAGAGCCAGCAGCCCAGTGCTTAGAAGCTTTATTCTATAGCAACAAAACAGTATGTGTGTGGGATGGGAGAGAGAATAATAAGGCAACAGTTCAGATTCTTACTTCCAAAGGATTGCCATAAACACCAAGAAAATAAATGTAGAGATGAGGAATAGACCAGCTGTTCAGAAGTTCACCAGAGTTCACAGAAGCAACTGACAGCTCCAAAGCTCTGTTTCTGAAGTATTTTTTTCCTTCATGTTCTGCCTCAACCCCATGGCTTACTCACCTTGGAGTCCCAGTTCTTATTCAGGTAATAAATACAGGTGATGCAGCGCCCGTCACCATTTGGATTGTCCACATGACGAACATACCCAGTTCCATTTCCAGGATAGCAAGCAACCATAGCCTGAATGAAAGATAAAAATTGTAAAAAAAAAAATTCTACAAGATGTTCACCTTCAGTTTTTCTTTGCTAAGCATCCTCCCACCACCAGTTTGGCTCAGCATTTTTCAGATGATCAATCCAAAACCTACAGCAGACACCACCAGACGTATCTTTGCACAAGCTTCTTTCACTGGATGAGTCAGCCAGTGTGAAATTCCAAACTGGAAAGAAATACCCTTCATATTTCACAATATATACACTAAAGTAGGAGAAAAAACCCGAATTAAACTAAAACACTGGTCTGTATGGTACAAGCTTATTGTTCTTTACAAGCTACGTGACTTCGAGACAGTTTCAGCTAAAGTTTGCTTGGGTTTCTGAAGATAAGCAGTCATTGCAAAACTGATTTGCCAGTCATAATGAAAGTAGAAAACGATCCCAGGATGTCATGCCTTACTACCACCATCCTCCTCAATTCATATCTTCCAGTCCCTGTCATATACATCCCTATGGTCCAACACAAAGTGAGGGTCCCCAGGAGGTGTAGGTGAAAGTCCATAGAGCAAAGTCTGCACAAATCTGTAACTTTGTGCCATGTTTGCACAGGGCAGTGCATGTTTGCTTTCATGGACTGAGCCACAGAACTAACCAAACAGCTTTCAGAAGCATACTTCTCTCTTTGATCATCTCCAGACTTACTGATACAATCACTTAATTCACAGTTTGTTTAAATTTCACCTTGAATGATGAGATAAGCCTAACAGGAATTACTCCAAACCACACGACAGTCAACAGGTCTTAAAAGGGTTTTTACAGCAAAAATGTATTAAACTTGAGTTGACACCATTAGCAGCCTAAGCAGGATGCAGGGAAGAGCAGATGAAACTGCTGGTAGGGTACCAGATCTTTGTCTCAGAGTCACTTCTTCATATTGGGACTACTTGGTAGTGATACCAGTCACCTTCCATGGAGTTTACTCCACTAAAGCTGTGGCAATAGAAATCTTGTTCCCACTCCTCTGACATCTCCTTTCATTGCTTGCCAGTATTAGCAGCAAGAGTGATGGGAGATGATGGGCTAAGTTCGGCTGGAAAACTGGACACAGTATCCAGATGTGGTCTCCCCAGGGCTGAGTAGAGGGTGATAATCAGTCCCTTACTGGCTGTGCTCCTGGGAATTTTGCCCTGGATGCTGTTGTGCAGGGAGCACACTGCAGGCTCATGTTCAGCTCACTGCCCAGCAAGACCATTAGGGTCCCCAGGCTCCACTGTGGCGCAGAGCTGCTCCCCAGCCTGTACTGCTGCAAGGGGCTCTTCCTTCCCAGGGGCAGGACTTCGCATTTGTCCATATTTAATTTCATAAAAGTTGCCGTTGGCCTGTTTCTCCAGCCCATCTGCATCCCTTTAGGTGGCAGCCCTGCCCTTGAGTGCATCAACGGGTCCCCTTCAGTTTGGTGTCATCTCCACACTTGACAAGAGTGCACTCTGCCATCTGCTTCAGGTTACTGACAAAGGCAGTTAACAGGTCAGGTTCTGTGATAGACCCCCATGGTGCTCCATTTGTTACCAGCCTTTAGGTATAATATGACTGATTAACCACCACCCTCTAAGCGCAACCATCCAAGCAGTTTTTTACCCATCTAGTTTTCCATCCATCCAAACCATAACATCCGAACTCTGGATACAAGAATATTGTACATGCCTATCCCACAGAATGAGGATGTGATTGTGCACCATTTGCATGACCTGCCCCTAATAATCTGCCAAGCACAGTTGATATCATTTAAGATTGACAGTATAGGCTTTACCAAAAGCAATTGAAATTTTTATCTAGGAAGTCTCGTTTTCTGCTTCCTAGCACATGCTAAAGCCATGCTGTCCTCGTGGGACACATGACCAGCTAGAGTATAGAACATGCTGCTTTAATCACAGAGGTAGTTTTACTGTGCCAACAAACACTGCCACAGAAGTTACTGCCAGCCAGGGCAGTGGATCCCTTGGACCCTCTGCTACCACGAACGAAAGTCTGTTCACAGGAGTCGGCCAGTTAGGATGGGTGTACACATACAGCTGCGAAAATACTGCTCTGCATCTCAAGTCATGTATGAATTGACTTCCTCCCCACAAGCACCAGCAAATGGTACCTTAAGACAGCAGTAAGTCACCAGAGCCCGCTCCTCACCCCGACACCTTGGGCCACAGCTGCTTTGGGGCTGGCGGCCCACTGGGGCAGGAGATTATGCTGAACAAGAGTGAGCACCTTTAATTCCCAGTAATAAGTCCTCTTCCATCACGCCTATCAGAGACATAGATGCCTTGCCATAGGTCCTGTCTGCTCTGTTGTCATTCTGCTGTTACAAACGGCTCCACAGCTGAACTTACATTTCACTAACAGCCTGATAACAGCAGTAAGGGCCAGTCTACAGCCTAGCACTGGAAACAAGCCTGGCTTAGGAGCACAAGCCTGGCAGAAACCACAAGCCAGCTGTAACTGCAATGTAGAAATGGTCCAAGGGAGCTGTACCCTCACTGGGGAGGATAACCCTCCTCATGCATCCCCCCATCCCAGCTGCTAACACAGCAGCTCACATGGGTGCACTCTTCACCCATCCCATGCACAGCGAGCTGGATTAGGTCAAACAATTAAAATAGTAACCCTTTGATAAACCTGATCCTCGTATGCTGGGGAATGTGACCCTGGGAGCTGAGAGAGCAGAGGAGAGGGGGCAGCGATGCCAGCAGGTGGGCAGGGAGGAGGGCTGTGCCAGGCAAGCCGGAGGAGCAGGGGGCTCATCTCTACAGCGAGCACAGCTGCTGCTGAGAGGATGCACGCCTACACTGCCAGTGCAAGGTCTGGCTCAGCAGAGCTCTGCTAATCATACCAGAGGGATGATGCATGGTGGGAATAAAACTTTGTTGACTGATAATACCTCATTTTAAGTCAATGTACAACACAAAATTATGGAGGCATTAAGGAAGTCTCCTCTTTGGAAGAGCAGACATTACTCCAAGATTACTGAACTGCCAAAAAATCAATCCAATATTACTACTATTTTATAATGCCACAATCAAAAAGCTGCTGAAGAATAATCGACTGCAGGCCAGATCCTTAAAGGGATTTAGGTCCTTTACTTACTACCAAAATCTGGGCAGAAGGCCAGAGTTTTCCCTGGCCTCCCCCACGTAGTATGTTCTCTTAGCAGAACATGTGCTTTGACTCCGAGACATTGATGCATTATTTATTTATTTACAGCATGCACCTTTTGCAACCACAATGCACAGAATCCCTGGGGATGAATAAGTAGAATAATTCCCACAGAATCCAAAAGCACTGGACACACTCTAGCCTAACTTTAAGAAAAGAGAAAAAAGTTTTCTAGTAGCAGCAGCGAAGGGAGAAAAGCAGAAGTGAAATATCCTTTTTCCTGGTATGGCGAATATTTGAATGAAACCTTAAACAATGAAGGGAAATCATTCTGGTCCTCCTAGAGCCTGTTGAAACGATATCAAGCTTTATCAGAGCACTGGCTGGAGCAGCTCCAGAGCAGATCACACTGGCCTCAGCAGGGATTCCAGCTGTTAGCACTACTTTTGGATTCATTCAAAGCAAACAAGAAACAGGAGATGAGATGCGTGACCCAGACTTAATTTAGGTAATTGGTGAACACTGGTATTTGCCAGTTTAGTGTACGGGCTAGCTACAAAAGCCGGAGGCTGGATCATCATAATCAAAGCATTTACCAGGTGAGCAAGTGGAGCATCAGTAAAAACGTTTCCTATACTTTTTCGGCTACTGTGTCCAGAAGAGCACACTCCATTTTTGAAAGCATCTCCTTTCATTAACCAACTCCAAACCTAAACTAACTAT